CGTAATAAAAATGCATCTGTTTTAACCAGGCAGGAGGTGGCCTTTCTTAATAGAGTGAGGACCTTGGCCAATACACCATCTTCAAATCACTACAAATCCCTCTTGCTCCTCGCATGTGCCCTCATTAAGCCCTGCTCCCATTAGATGAGCAGGGAATAGAATCACAGATTCAGCCAGGCTGGAAAAGCCCTTCAAGCTCATCCAGTCCAACCCTTACCCCAGCCCTGCCAAGGCCACCACTGACCCATGGCACTGAGGCCTCGTCTCCACGGGCTGTGAACCCTTGCAGGGACGGTGACTGCAGCCCTGCCCTGGGCAGCCTGTTCCAATGCCTGAGCACCCTCTGGGGCAGGAATTGTTCCTCAGCTCCATCTAAACCTGCCCTGGTGCAGCTTGAGGCCGGTTCCTCTTGTCCCATCCCTTGTTCCTTGGGAGCAGAGCCCAGCCCCTCCTGGCTCCATCCTCCTGGCAGGCACTTGTAGGGAGCCATCAGGTCCCCCCTGAGCCTTCTCTTCTCCACACTGAACCCCCCAGCTCCCTCAGCCCTTCCCCATCACACTTGTGCTCCGCTGCCCTTCTCTGTCCTCGCTCCAGCACCCCAATATCTCTCTTGCAGCGAGGGGCCCAGAACTGAACACAGGATTCGAGGTGCAGCCTCCCCAGAGCCCAGTGCAGGGAAAAACAAAGGTCTGCTAAGGCTGGTGCTGATTTCGGTGGTGTCTGTCACTCCAGTGTGTTTCTGAATGTGGTCCTCTCTTTGCTGTTCTCTCCTCTGCAGGGCCTGCACTTACAATGAGTTGGCCAGTTGCTCCATCCTGAGCGAGCTGAGTTTATTTAAGTCAGTTTACAGTGGCATGGGCTAGAGCTGGGTGTTACAGCACACACTCCATAAATTACCAGCCGCTAAGAAATGTGTTTGGACAATGGGGAAGGACAATAGCTGAGATAAAAAAGAGTAAAAGTCGTGCCTGCTTTGAGGAAAGCAAACACAATGCTGCTGCCAGCAGCCATCCCATACGGGTCTGAGCTTGTGTTCCCCACATCGCCCATGCCTGGCCCAAATAACCAACCCTGTCTCTGGGCATTACCATGGCAAATAGGGCTGTGAGTGAGTGAAACTCCCCTTTGGTCAGGCCAGTCCCTTTTGCTGTAGAAATGCAGAAGAAAAGCCCAGCCAGGCTGGCATGGGTGGACATCAGCCTACCTAGTCCCATGGGGCCACGTGTCTCCTCTCAACCTCAACTGGTGCAATGCAGTGAGCTTTGATTTTACGGCCCCAGGAGAATTTGTAATGCAAGAGCAGCAAAACAGGCTGAGAACATTGGGGCTGTTCAGCCTGGAGAAGAGAAGCTGCATGGAGACCTCAGAGCAGCTTCCAGTGTCTGAAGGGGGCTACAAGGATGCTGGAAAGGGACTCTCCATCATGGACTCTTTGACAGGACAAGGGCTGATGGGCTCAAACTGAAAGAGGGGAAGTTCAGGCTGGAGATAAGGCAGAAGCTCTTCCCTGTGAGGGTGCTGAGGCACTGGCACAGGGTGCCCAGAGAAGCTGTGGCTGCCCCATCCCTGGCAGTGTTCAAGGCCAGGTTGGACACAGGGCCTTGGAGCAAGCTGCTCTATGGAAGGGGTCCCTGCCCGTGGCAGGGGTTGGAGCTGGAGGAGCTTTGAGGTCCCTTCAACCCAAACCAGGCTGGGGTTCCATGGAAACTGCTGCAAAACCATTGTGTGCTGACTGCAGGTCACCCCTGACTCTGTGAGACGCTGGCTCTCCATCTTCCCCCCCCAAGTAAGAAAGGATGCATGAGGCTGCGTCACTCCCTGCCCAGGCAGAACCGCAATTCCTCAGCTCCCGGCTACTGGGAAAGTTTACTGTGGAAACTGATACCCTCCTAAAAGTCCTCCTTCACCCCGGTGTCACTGCAGGTAGGGCTGGGTCAGAGGATTACGCCTGCCGTGCTCATTGTCCTCTGAAGCACGGATGAATGGGGTAATTTAACCCCAAGGAGATAACGAACCGTCCTGTCTGTACCTTTGCGTTTCCCATGAAGCTGCCGGGTGTTGGCTTAAAGGGTCTTTTAACAAATTATCAGGACATCTGGCTCCTTCCAGGTGCTCTGTGACGCTTTGGTCATCAACTCGGAACAGACAGAAGAGCTTTAATTACCTCCAATGCTCATTCCATGCCTTTGGGAACTTGAAGAAGGGCTTGCGGGTGGTGGTTACCAAGTCTTACACTCCAATGGCCCATCCCACTAAGGAAGTTTTGCTCCTCAGACAATATGGGGAGCTTTATGAAGCATTTCTCCACTTTCCTAGGTACACACCAACATTTTTCCTTCAAAGTGAGCGTTAAATGGGTGGCAATTGTACCAGTTTAGAAATATACCAATAACACTTATACAATCTACACCAAAAATCATGAAAATATATCAATATAAGATTAATGCAACTGGAAATTAGTTATCCATTTTGCCAACATTAATGGGTTGATGTCTTCTACAAGCAGCAAGACATGTTAACCTGCGCTGCTTTGTATATGCCAGCAAATTTCCCAGCTGGGAAACTGTTGTTCTTTTTTTTTCCCTCAGCTATTTTTTCCAAAAAAAAATGTGTAATTTCCCAAGAAGTATCAGCCTCTTTTCTCCCACAATAATTGCTGTGGGTTATTCACACGTGCCCAGGAGAACCTGGGTGCAACCAGTGTGATGCAAAGTACAGGCAGCGACTGCTCTGTGGAGCCCCTGATCCTAAAGCATCCCCTGTATCCCAGGTCTCCATGCCCAGCCAAGACACCTGGAAGCAGGCATGGAACCTGGGATAACTCATTCCTCTGAGGGCAGAGGATCCAACATTTCACTACTGATCTTCATGAAAGGCTGCAGGCCTTAGATCACAGCTTTAATTTCGCCTCATGTCAGATTTTCCAGCAGATGAAATGCATTCTGCTCCGGGAAGCCATCTACCATTGCAAACATCCAGCATAAAACAGCCTATCAGTTTTATTAAGCAGGATCCTGGGCAATTTAATAGCCTGCTTTAATTTGATAGAATTCATCCAGCTTAAGTATTTTTCCATGTTCGACTCAACCCAGTTTATGATTTATCAATTACCTATTTCACATATATCATAAGTTTAACTTTTTCACTCTCTAAATCATATTCCTGGCTGAAGAACCCTGTGGGGGGGGGTGCAATTGAAAACAAACCCAAACCCAATTTGTGTCTCTATACAGCGCATGATACTTCCTGTGACATGTTTAAAACATCATTTATGATAGATGCAATGCAGCGATGAGTCAGAAGATTTGCGGGATGTTCGTGAGGTTATAGTGACCTTTTGAGGATAAACTGTATTACGTATTAATCTTTCCTACAAATAAACCTGATCTCCATCAATAGGCCGTTCTGTTGGGTTGTTTCTTCCCCATACTGAGTATACCACCCCTAATCGTCTCCCAAGGCATCGCTGGCATCTCAGATGGTTTGAGAGGACTTGGCCTCCCATTCAGTGTTGGTTGATGAGAAGCCGGGCATAACCCACCTACAGTGTACACTCACAGCCCAGAAACCAACCATATCCCTGGCTGCATCCAAAGGAGCATGACCAGCAGGGCAAAGGAGGTGATCCTGCCCCTCTGCTCTGCTCCTGTGAGACCTCACCTGGAGCATTGTGTGCAGTTCTGGTGTCCTCAACATAAAAAGGACATGGAACTGTTGGAACAAGTCCAGAGGAGGCCACGAGGATGATCAGGGGACTGGAGCACCTCCTGTATGGAGACAGGCTGAGAAAGTTGGGGCTGTTCAGCCTGGAGAAGAGAAGCTGCGTGGAGACCTCAGAGCAGCTTCCAGTGTCTGAAGGGGTCTACAAGGATGCTGGGGAGGGACTCTTCATTGGGGACTGCAGTGACAGGACAAGGGGTGATGGGTTCAAACTGAAACAGGGGAAGTTCAGGTTAGATCTAAGGCAGAAGCTCTTCCCTGTGAGGGTGCTGAGGCGCTGGCACAGGGTGCCCAGAGAAGCTGTGGCTGCCCCATCCCTGGCAGCATTCAAGGCCAGATTGAACAGAGCCTTGGGTGCCATGGTTTAGTGTGAGGCATCCCTGCCTATGGCAGAGTTGGAAGTGGATGATCTTAAGGTCCTTTCCAACCCAAACCGTTCTGTGATTCTATGACTTCCCATTGATGATGGGAGGTTTGTGAGTGTCTCCCCCAGAGCCTTATTTTGTAAAGCACATACTGAAACGCTGCCTGAAAAAACAAACAGGAAGCTTCAATCCCTCACCCGCATCCCGAGGGGAACATCTCCATTCAGTGGGGCGGGCGCCGGCCCAGGTTCTGGCTGTGCAAAGGCATGGCAATATAATTGCAATAGGCCCTACGACAGCCCTGCCAAATTAAAATGAATCTTGTGTAAAGCTTTTCTTTTAATGGCCCATTGTATCCCATCCTGACCAACTCCTGAAGACTTCCTAAAGCTGGGTAGGAGCCTGGCTTCATGGAGGTCAACTGCAGAAACTTCCCCGGCTTAATGAGCTCACGGGCTCTCCCCATGTCTCTTATGACTTTATTTATGCTGTGGTTTAATGAATGATTGTCCAATGCAGATGCGTAAATGGCTCTGAATGAGACTGAGATCCCTGCGGTGGTTGGTGCTCTATGAACACGGGATATTAGGCTGTCTCTGCCCCAGGGATTGGGGGTGGGTAAGAGAAAAGATAGGGAGAAAATACAACTCACCTATGAATATTAAGCCGGGTTGTAAATTCTGCCATTCTGTATGCTGCTGCTCCATCTCAAACCCACGGCTTGGGCAGGCAAAAGGGAGTTATTGCTCTGCAAAACCACCCCAAAAAAGCAATGAAGTCATGCAGAAAACCTGCACCAGAAGAGAGCAAAGGCTGAAGCCACCACAAAAACCCTCTCCTTGGTGTCACAGCTCCATTTTATAGCCAGGGGATGGATCACCCTTGATCCATCAGCATCTCATCAATAGGGATCGATTTAATAAACCCATATGATAATTAAGTGGGGTTTTATGGCTTCAGTCTGGTGAAAATGGTTTTAATTCGAGGCTTTAACATGGAAAATAAACCTTTCAAAACCCAGAATCACCCATTAAAGCTGACATTGTGAAAAACGTCCATCTCATCCTCAGAAACGTCCTCTGTGTTTTAAAGAAGTATAGCAGCAAACATTACCAGGAGCATTAGAGGGGTTTGTCTCTGCCAGGAATCAGCCGGTTGCAAAGGCTTTCAAATGGAAACAACTCAGAAATCTCAAAAATGTTTGCAAAAAAAAAGACATTTTCACTTTTCGACCAACTCTGTTATTGATTTTCCAGCCTGAATGAGGAATGCTTGTTGAATTTTATGGAAACTGATAGTGGGACTAAATGAAACTGGCCATAAAAGATAACAGATTTTGTTTTAAAGTCAGATAAAAGTTATAGTCCCATGTTATTTGGCATATGAATTTCCTATGATACCAATAAAAATGTTAGTTATAAAGCATTTCCTGAGGAATGGCTGTAACCCCAAATGATCATGGTTATTTGCTGAGGAAAATAGGTTTTATTCCGAACAATAAACCTATGCAGATTTATTAACCTGGGAAACACACAACCAGCTCATGTACCAATCCGGTTCGAGCTGATGGAATTAATAACACTGATATAATGAAAAATCTCTTTTACACTCCAAAAGCATTGCCTGCACAATGTCACACATAAAAGAGTTTACTTAGCAGCCCTTTAGCTCTATTTTCCCATTCTTCGCAGAAGTCTTCATTCACGATGGGTTGGTTCTGTTTAAATGCTGATATTTGCTGTGGATCATGTTACTGCAGCGTTATTCCCTGCAGATGAATGAAAGCTGAGCATGAACTAACAAGAAAAACACTCAGAAGATGAACAGTTGAAAGAAGCAAAAATGCTTTTCATGCTTTCAAGGTGATGGCAAGCGAGGCTGATGGGACAGACCCAGACCTCGCCTGGCATGTGCCATGGGACAAGAGCACCTTAGCTTGCCTGGGCTGAGCTAACCTGAGCCCTCCTGGAATCCAACCACTGAAAATAAAAGGGAAAACGACTAAAAGGAGAGTTAAACTGAGCTTGTTCCACCAGGAGCCTGTGGGGAGAAGGCTGGATTGGGCTGCAGTGAATAGAGGCTGAGCCCGATGGTAGGTGTCAGGAGTGCTTCTCTCCAGCCAAGATCTGTATTTTCCCTCCCCTTTGAGACCACAGCATAACTCTGTTAATGAAGTGACACCAGAGGATGTACGGCTACAACAGACTGAGCTGAGCTCTCAGGCAGAAGCTCTTCCCTGTGAGGGTGCTGAGGCGCTGGCACAGGGTGCCCAGAGAAGCTGTGGCTGCCCCATCCCTGGCAGTGTTCAAGGCCAGGTTGGACACAGGGGCTTGGAGCAAGCTTCTCCAGTGGAAGGGGTCCCTGCCCATGGCAGGGGTTGGAGCTGGAGGAGCTTTGAGGTCCCTTCAACACAAACCAGGCTGGGGTTCTGTGATTCACCCCTTCTGCTTCATTGGCAGAACATCCGCACAGCTCCTTTCCTCCCGTGGGTTTGGGTGGCTGTGCTATAAATGGCACCAAAGGCATCTACAACCACTTGCCTTGGCCAGTTCAGCATCAGCAGCCCCAGCACAGCCACCTCCTGTAGGGCCCAGGGAGGGACCAAGCGAACTCCCCACTGCTTGGGGACCAAGCTCCCCAACTTCTCCTAAGCCAATGAAGTTTTTAATGTTATCATGCGATTTTATGATGTTTGAATGTAGGAATAGCTGTCTTAAACTAGACACCGAAAATAAGCTCACCCACTCACCAGCTAGAGGGCAAAAGCTAAAGCTAAACTGAGGACTCACCTTTGGGAAAGATTCAACAGAGGTAACGAGCAAACCAGCCAGCTGAACATAAGGCTTGCTTTAGTTAAGTATTAAAGCCAGCACAAAGATAAGATTCAGTTTGAACAAAAAAAGCATATTTTTTCCCTAACATTGTTTCTTCTAATTTTTCTTCATTTTACCCTGAAACCAGCTACCACTGTTTAATTCATTCCACATTTCCCAAGGTCGAAGACCCCCATTCCGAGCACCAGCGTGCTCCACAAATGTTACTTCTTTTATAGTGCAGAACAGTAAGTGTTTTATCCCATCCGCTGTCTTCGCATCCTCAGGATGGATGGAAACGGTGCCAGTGGGACAGCAGAGAGCTGTCAGAGAAGCAGGCCATCACGAAACCCATCTCACTTCAGTGTGTGGAGCAGATAGAATGAGAAGGAGGGGTGATAGCATCTTTGGAAGGTCTGACCCCAAGGAGATACTGATATGGCTGAAGCAGCAGCCCAGAGCTGGAGATGCTCAGTGCTGGCTACCCTCTCCACAGCCTCCTGAAGACCCATCGCATAGTTTGGGTTGGAAGGGACCTTCAAAGCTCACTTAGTCCAACTGCCCTGCAATGAGCAGGGACACCTCCAGCTAGATCTGGTTGCCCATCTGTGGGCTCTGCTTTTCTTATGCAGAGTTTGCTCTTCTGGATAATCTCCTTCAGGAATAATTGACCTTGAAAGCACCATTGGAAAACCACGTGGGAAACTGTTTTCCCTGGCTTTGGTACCTCCTTGCAGAAACCATCATCTCTATTGATGGCTGTATTTAGAGGACCAGTGTTTCCTCCATGTGTTTAGCTGAGCAGCCTCTAAAGCCAAGCTCCTTCGCGTGCAAACAGTACCGACACACTCACCCGATGGATGTGGGAATGACAGAAGGATGCATGGGGCCCAGACCAGCTGGGCACACCCAATGTAACAGGCACCTTTCCTGCCAAGGAAAGCACATAGAGTCACATAACCCCCTCAGAACATCATATACTCACCTGACCCACAATGCTCCCAAACAGGAGCCAGAGGGTTAACGGGGGATTTGGATGTTGTACAAACCACCACATGCTGCTTTTATAAACGTATGTATCTATACAGGGAGCAAGAGGCAAACATGCTGGCTAAACCCTGCATTCTTCTAAGGCAGAACCTAAGTCTACAGGACACGTAGGAAGGCAAACAGCATGTTTTCAGGTAATTAGTGTTTATAATCAGTTTGTAAAGCCAAAGCGAGTCCAGATCGCAATGCACTCAAGTTAAAAAACACATAGAAAAGATTTTTTTTTCCCTTTGCATATGCATGCCAATGCCAAATTAACATCTGCATACAATATATGCTCTGGTCAGACCCAAAATATTGTTGTGGTTATGGCCAATTCACTTAAAAGCTGATACGTTTGAAACCTCACATTAATATGGATGAAATGTTTTCTGTTCCTTTAACTTCTTCTAGGGTTGGGTTTTTTTCTTTTTTTAAGTTAAAGTTTCACATTAATGGTACTTATAAACCACAGCTGTTTCACTGTACTATATAACAATAGTGTTTTGTATCTGAGCAAGTTTGGAAATCTTCATGCTTACTCAATCCTTCCAAAACCAAAAGCAACCCCACTTGTTCCTTGAAATGGAAGAGGTATCTCTAGTGTTTGCAAAACAATTACATTCCTGACAACTTTTCATAGCGATGATGTTTTGGTATTGCTTCGGAGATGAAATGAGGAGAAATTCAGGCTCAGAGCCCGATGGAACTTGACAGTTCTGGCTCTGAGGCCGGTTTCTGTTATTGCTGTGGAGCAGGGAAGGCAGAGCTACAGAGCTACTTCACTTGACTGGTGTCTCCACAGGGGTGCTATGGAAAGGCAAGCGGTGCCCCTTGCATCACTAAGCAATGCAGCAGAGCCACAGCCCCATGGCTCATTATACGCTCATCACAGCACCTACACAGGCTTTCACCACAACATCAACCCTAGGACTGCACTCTCAGCTCAGGCCAGCAGTGCAGCCTCCGGATGAAGCCATCAGGTACCCCATGAGGAGCTTCAGCAGCAGGAACCAAAGGTCTGCAAATACAGCATCATAACGCAGGGCTTTTCCCCATGCAGTGATCCTCATGAGCATGGTTTTCAGACAAGGGCTTGGGAGAGTGCTTTGTCCTCCCAGGCTGTTTCCTTCACACCATGATTGCTTTTCCCTGTCCTCTCCTGTCCCCGGGCACCACTCAAGCTGGCAAAGCAGGGCTTGCACAGTTACCCTGCATCCCATGAGGCTGGAGATGTGCATGCACACCCATGTGCAACCCTGACCCACCCATCTACTGCATTTAGGCAAGCCAAGCTGCAGACAACCTCAGTAGAGGGAGATGGTCCAGCTTTGGCCAGTGAAGGTGGCTCAGTCCTTCCTTGCAATGGCACTTTCATGTTGGGAGCAGAGAAAGGGGCACTAATAAGATGGGGAAGTTGTGGTGGTACAAAAACTTAATACCAAGAGAGATGACCCAGCAGTAAAACAGCATAAAGTTCAGGAAGCTGCTAAGAGCACCCTACCAGGGACCCACGGGTGGCTACCCAGCAGCTCCTTACCTTCGTGCTCATCTCCAGCCCATCCTGTAAGACCCACACAGGACCCAGGCTGGGAAGCCCTTTTCTACCTACTGCTAAACCCTAAGTGCTTTTGTAAGCCCACACTGCTCAGGACTCTTTGCTGTAGGTGTAGAGCTGGGCTTTGAGAGATGTGGCTTTGGAGCTTACTGGTCGATTCCATCAGTGACCATGGAAAGCAACAAGATGCACACAAGCAGGATGTGTCCACCATGTAGGTGCTCAGTGCCACGGGTTAGTGATGGACTTGGCAGTGCCGGGGTAAAGGTTGGACTGGGTGAGCTCAAAGGGCTTTTCCAGCCTGGTTGATTCCGTGATTGTCTCCTGCCAAGAGCAAGCAGCTGCCAGAGGCTGCTCCATTCTCACCTGCAGGCGGATGGGGAAGCAGTCCGCCGGGCTGCGTTGTTTTGTTTTCCTCAGCACATTTCATCCTTTCTCCAAGCCTCCAGCTTTCCGGGAGCGGTTTTGAAGCGGCCTCAGTTGTAATCTGACCTCGCTCCTTGTCACATCTGCGTCAGCCGCTCCGGGGGCCGACAACTATTTCTAGCTTTAAAACACGGTTCTTTGGCAACCCAAGAGACAAATCCCTTCAGAGCGTGTCTGCAGGAAAGGGATGAGCCTGTATGGCACAATGCAGCTGCAACCAAGGTTGTCTGAAGCTGCCTGAATCCCACCCTGCTTTATTCTTGCAAGTTACCGTGAGCCCACCTATTTGCTCCCCTGGGTGCCAGCAGGCAGCTGCAGCCCCAGAAATACAGGGAGATGGGATTGTGCTTGATGCACAGGGAGCTGGGGATCCCAGCATCTCCACGTGTCTTCTGGTTTCTCCTGGAGGCCACGTAGGGTCAGAAAAAAGCCATGACAAACTGTGGTCCTCTCCTGCCAGGCACCACCTCATGGATATGGGTGCAATTGGACCCTGTGCATCACCCCACAGTCCTGCTGAGCCACGGCTGGCCCTTGGCGGTTGCAAGGCCCAGGAGCTTGATGTAAATGGATGAGGTCTGGCAGGTCCAGCCAAGGCCACCACAGATGGGATCGGCTGGCCAGACCTCCTCTTTGGCAAAGGGAGGTTTTCCCTGTGGGAAGTGGCACAGAAACAGCATTGGGCCGTAGTGGAAGCAATCATAGCTCCTAAGAAATAAGCAGGGACTATTTTAAGGCCACTTCCCAAGGCTCACAAACCCAACGCTGCCCATCAAACCCTTCCACCTCCCCTTCCTCATGCAAATACCTTCTGGCCGTGGCAGCCACATCTGCATGAGTGAGCGGTCACAAAGAGGTCTCCTCTGTCACATCTCTCATGGAAACAGCGGACTGACCCAAACAAGCACTGCCGAGGACACAGGGAGGGCTTGGCCACAGCACGCTGTGGTGGCAAGAGCACGCAGCCACGGCTGCATGGGGGGCAAGGAGGAAAAGAGCAGCAAAGCTCTTAGGGGGTATTTCATAGCTGTGTGACTAACAGGGAGGTCCTTAAACCTTCTCCTGGGCTCACCTGTGAGGACTGCGCAGGTGAAGCTGCTTTCTGATCCATCAAAGCTTGTGCCCACAGCAGTAACCATGGAGCCTTGTGTTTATCTTCCCCTGGAGGCCATGTGAAATTCCACATGATCACAGAATCCCACCATGGTTTGGGTTGAAGGGACCTTAAAGCTCCTCCAGCTCCAACCCCTGCCACGGGCAGGGACCCCTTCCACTGGAGCAGCTTGCTCCAAGCCCCTGTGTCCAACCTGGCCTTGAACACTGCCAGGGATGGGGCAGCCACAGCTTCTCTGGGCACCCTGTGCCAGCGCCTCAGCACCCTCACAGGGAAGAGCTTCTGCCTAAGAGCTCAGCTCAGTCTCCCCTCGGGCAGGTTCAAGCCATTCCCCTTGGCCTGTCCCTCCATCCCTTGTCCCAAGCCCCTCTCCAGGTTCCCTGCAGCCCCTTTAGGCACTGGAGCTGCTCTAAGGTCTCCTCTTAAGAAGCCTTCTCTTCTCCAGGCTGAATAATGATATGTCACACTTTCTGCTTTCCCAAAACCCAGGTTTTACCAGCTATGAAGGGAAATCTGTTAGGCCTTTGTCAGAAACATTCTTTGTCATAGAGTTAAAGTACCTGACATTAGATCTTGTGCTCATGAGAAGAGATGCATCCTCACTGACTCAGTGGAGCTGCAGGGATTGCTGTCATCTTCATGTTTTAGAAGAAAAATAGGCCTATGTAGATTTAGGAATAATCTCTATTAATCCCCCAGTTCTTCAAGAAACCCTTCAAGAGTTTAGGGCTGTCCATGCATGTGAGCATCTGCAAGGTTGAAACCAAGAGATGTTTCAGCCAGCCCCAAAATGAAGAACGTAAATATGAAATATTAAAACCAGATCTGCTCTAGAGAAGAACTTTGACATTGCCACAAATCCGAAGAAGAAAGGGAAAACTCTGGCGTATAAATCCAGGATGACATCACTTTCTGAGAACCTGATGCCAAAACAGTGCTATCTTTGGGAGAGCCTCTGTGAAAGCTTTTGTCATCTTTGCCAGGTTAATATAGCTTTGAGATTGAAAGTGCTTTCATATTTATATTGAGGATGGGAGAGGGCACGTTTTCCCCAAGGGAAATACTACATTCACGTCTGTAGTATCAAGTCAAGGAACAGAAGACTTTGTCTTTGGCATCTTTGTGTAAGTCATTGATCTCCCTTCCCCAGCTTCACAAAACCCCAGCCTGGTTTGGGTTGAAGGGACCTTAAAGCTCCTCCAGCTCCAACCCCTGCTATGGGCAGGGACACCTTCCACTGGAGCAGCTCGCCCAAACGTGGTCCAGTGCCCACTGGCACACAATGGTTCTGAAAGGAGATGAAACCCCTGGTGCTCCTTGGAGGCTGAATGACGCTTCTATTTCCTGAATATATAAATATATATATATATGCAGTAAACCTTTCCCTTCAAAGGAAAGAGAAGCAACAAAATCCCATAACCGCAGTGTTCAGATAAAGGCTAATGCAGGCAGAGGATTTGCAGCCAACTTGATGCAAGCCCAGCTGATTGCTGACCTCCACAGACTGATGCTGGAGGCCAGCAGTTGCTTTCCCCCTAAAGCTTCAGGTTATAAACACCTCTCAGCACCTCCAGGAAATACAAGCCTGCTCCCCTCGCTGTCAGGCTGGATGGCTTGGATACCAAGTGACATAAATATTGCAGCCGTAGGTGCTGATGTTCGTGGGGGCTTACACAGGCAGAGTTACAACTGTGGAGCTCATTGTGGTCACCTCTGGGACACTCTGGGTAACACATCTGGTGCAGCAATATGTTGTGTCTCTCCACATAGGCAATAGTACACCAGCAGGGCTGTAGGCTCCTGGGATGTCCCGCAGGGAAGAGCAGAGCACAGCGAGCAGGCACCAGGTGAAGACTCTCCTTGGGCACTATCGTGGTCATCTATTGCTTGGTTTGGCTCAAGCTAACAGGAGTGTTCCCATTGGCATCCTAAGGGGTTAGGTTTTGAGCCAGAGATCTCTTCCTGAGAGCTTGCTCAGGAGTGGTGGGGAGGCTGGATTTTGGCTGCTCCAGTGTATTGCTGCCGTGTAAAGCGCCAAAAGAGAGTGTGGTCATGCTGTTGAAACCAGAGGGCAGGAGCCAGAAAATGCTGGGGTCAAAGACCCCAAACAAATCCCCAGATATAATCAGTGTCTGACACAAGGTAACATGACATGACATGCTGCTCTGACTTTCCAAGGTGGGGTGGGACAGGGCTTGGAGCAACCTGCTCTAGTGGAAGGTGTTGAGCAAGGGGTTTGGAACTGGATGAGCTCTAAGATCCCTTCCAACCCAAACCCATCTGGGATTCCATGATTCAATGAATCCAGGCTCACAGCAAACCCCGCTCTGTGCAGGCAAACTGACATCATGCAGGGAAAATTGGATTTGACTGGAGTGGAGCTTTTTGGATTAATGGGAACAAAGCAAGAGGGTGAAAACAATCGCTCTGACACTTCTTCAGTGACAGCTCTGTCAAAATCGATACCATCCCTTGCAAAAAAAGCCCGTTTTGACAAAATGGCATCTTCCAACAGGAAATAAATGAGGTTGAAACTGTTTCCATCAGCTCTACCTGCCCCATACATCTTTAGCACTGTTTCTTTGGTGAGCGCAGAGCGGGATGGAGCGCATTACAGCCCCCACTCAAAGACCTGCACTTTGTTACTGGAGACTCGCTGCTGGACCACATACTTGTTTTCCTTTAGAGCACGTTAAGAATCACAGAGATTTAAACCCGTCGCTCTGGTTAGAAACAAGCCGTGCCGTGGCAGGGGTGCTGCAGATGTTTGGCACAAGTACAGACTGCGGCTGCTCCCCTCAGCCGGTGCTTCGAGCCGTCCTCTGCAGCGGTGCAGAGCATCTGTGGGCTTACATATGCTTATATATACGTTTGTGCATGTATATATGCACATGCACGTACACATACATACCATACATCCCTGGAGAGGGGCTTTGGACAAGGGCCTGTAGGGACAGGCCAAGGGGAATGGCTTTAACCTGCCTGAGGGGAGACTGAGCTGAGCTCTGAGGCAGAAGCTCTTCCCTGTGAGGGTGCTGAGGCGCTGGCACAGGGTGCCCAGAGAAGCTGTGGCTGCCCCATCCCTGGCAGTGTTCAAGGCCAGGTTGGACACAGGGGTTTGGAGCAAGCTGCTCCAGTGGAAGGGGTCCCTGCCCGTGGGAGCAGGGGTTGGAGCTGGAGGAGCTTTAAGGTCCCTTCCAACCCAAACCAGGCTGGGATTCTGTGATTTATGTATCATACATACCATGTGTGTACATGCACATACATATATATGTGTATGTGTACATATACACATATACTTAGGGTCTTCCTACTGCACCAGCAGGAAAATACAGATGGACTTGGAAAATAACCAAAGAAGAGAAACTTTAGACTGATGATGTGCATTTCCTACAACTGTTATTTTCTAGGCTGTAACCTCCTTAGGGGAGGTCTTATTGGGCACCTTCACTGCAGCAGCCTATTTAGTGTGGCTCTGTAATAACCCCCCCCCAGAGGCTGTGTACACCTGGCTGAGCAGTGTGGTTGGAGATCACCCTGGCCAAAGAGCTGGCCCTCAGACGGGGTCAGTTTTCAGCCTTTACCTTGGAAAACATCCTACATGCAGCTTCCAAAATCAATTGGTTCAAATGGGTTAGGTTCTTTGTAACTAAAGCCTCCCCCTAGTAGTGCATTTGCAAGCAAACACACAAGGATACGTGCCCAGCACTTACTAGCTCCCAATAGAAGCTGCAAGCCAAACCATCATTTGCAGATTTAGAAACCTTCCCACAATTGCTTAAGTGCCTTTCGAAAATGGGAAATTTATTTGCAGATTCCTCTGGCACTTTGTAACATTTCCTCCTAATAAATAGCCTTTTGGGCCACTGGGCTTACTCGGTTTAGAGGGGGACTGGCCTGGACCCAGCCTTGCCCACCCGCACATTCCCTCTGTGCCAACTGCCATGGAGACCTTCCCCATAGTCCTTCTTTGCTGCTCCGAGGAGAAAATCCCAGCTCAAATCCTTATTTCATAGCCCAATAATAGCCCAAAGCCAAATAAGTCTTCTTGGAGAGCCTATTGAGTGGGTACTGGCGTTAGGAGCCAGCAGTTTAATGGCTAGCTCTTACATTGCCAGCACTTTCTGGGGAAGCCTCCAGATCTGGTAGGTCTCCGGGCAGAGTCTGGGAGCTTTAGATGATGCTCAGTGCAGTAAATAACATAACATGGACACTAAAGCGATTGCATCACGGGCGGCCCGCGCTCCAGACCTGAACCAAAGAAATAAATCAGTGTTTCCTCCCCGAGACCCCCCCTGTTTTCATCCTCCTCCCAGGCAGCCCCTCTCCCACCCCGCTGATTTGTGAGCTCGGCTAGATTGCAGCCAGACCACAGGTAAAGCCCTGCTGGCACGGGCAGTCCTCCAGGGCTTTCCACTCGCCAGGTTTCCCCTTCCTCATCACCCTGTGCTTGAGCGGAGCTATGGCAGATGTGTCTCCCACACCAGGGGCTATCCCAGCCCCAGCACTCACCCAACCTCATTCCAATCGCCTTAATTAAGAGCAAATACGCTTGGCAGGGGGAGAACCCAGACGCCGAGGTGATGAAACCTAAACGTGCCTCAGACGAGCATCACTACAGACGCTGATAGGCAGGGACGAGCTTTACACTCCCCAGGCTGGGTTATAGCCCGTAAGAGCTCACGCCTCTGAAACCTGGCTCCCGCTGCTGGGTCCCTCTTCTTCAGGCTGTCCGTGCCCCCCAGCTCCGGTTGCAGACCCACCTCCCGTGTGCCTGTGCTGGTTGCTGCCTGCCAGAACGCTAATGCCGTCACCCAGCAAGCGGGATCTCTGCCTCGCTTCGGCCAACCCGCCCTTTACATCCCTGCTCCAGCCTTCCCGAGGCAGTGATTTCTGGGGGGGGATTTGCCTCGGGCGCGTATCTTGGAGGGTTTTTGCACCTGAAGCTTTACAGCCCCCGAGCTGTTTCTCCACAAAGCGCTCTCTGGTTTTGCTGCTGGCCAGCAGCACGTACATGGAGGGGCTGCTCGTGGGGCAGCGTCTGCAGCTGTGTGCGGAGGAATTCACCTCCCGCCCGTCCCCAAGCGCCATCCATGACCCTTGCTTTGCTCTTGCAAAGAGACCTCTGCTTAGACCAAGCCCCGTTGTGCCCCTTGACTGAGCTGGGTGCTGATAAGATGCAGCTTATGCACAAGGATCACATCCCTCCAGTAGCATGAGGTGGGACATGGGTACCAAAAGCATATTGCCAGCCAGTAAAGGTTTCTCCTTAAGCTTTCTCACTGGGGACACTAAGCCGTGGCATCCTTGACATGCCTCAACAGGTGACAACAGGTAATAGTGGATCATCATAGAATCCCAGCCTGGTTTGTGTTGGAAGGGACCTTAAAGCTCATCCAATTCCAACCCCCTGCCACAGGCAGGGACCCCTTCCACTGGAGCAGCTTGCTCCAAGCCCCTGTGTCCAACCTGGCCTTGAGCACTGCCAGGGATGGGGCAGCCACAGCTTCACCGCTCTCAGTAATGAATTTCTTCCTTATATTTAACCCAAATCTTCAGGCCCCCGTGCCTTGCTTTCCAGTTTCCCTGCCTGCACCAGAAATGTTGCTGGGAAGGGCAACAGGGTTGAAAGACGCTTTGAGGAGCGTGGCTGTGGGTCTGTACGTGCCTCTGCATGCACACAGTGAGCTGATCCCATCCAGCAATGCCTCAGCGATAGCATCTGTGAAGATGGATAACCGAGCCAGGCTTCCTTGTGGAAACTCCGCTCTCACAGCAAAGCGCAGTGGGGAAAGGAAGCTCCCAGCTTCCAGACGAAACCCAGAGTTAAATGCAGCGGCTGAAACAATCCCCAAAGAAGTGGTTTTTTTTAATGAGAAAGTCCCCTCTCTGGTCATCACTGTCACAGCCGCGTTTAAAGGCTACCAACAGCCAGGCGCTCAAGGGAAGAGCAGAAACCAGAAGCGCGGCTGCTCAGCCACCCGCTGTCACCCAGCGCGCTTCACCCGCTGCCTGCTCCTGCCTGCCCTGCAGCAGCACCCCCGGACCGGCACCGCCGCTCCTGGTGCCCCCTCAGGTACCCCAAAGGCACCCGCAGCAGAGCAGGTTCCTGCCGTGCCCGGCACCCGCTGCGGGGACCGGGTCTGCTCCCGGCTGCGGCCGCGGCTGCTGCTTGCGGAGCAATGGGGTCTCCCTCTGGTGGCAAAGCCCGCCCGAGGTGCGCGGCCGCAGCAGGCAGGGATGGGGCTGTGGGACAGCGGAGTTGGCTTCCAGCTGCGTCCCGTGGACTTGCAGGGGTTCCCAGGATGTCCCGGGCAGCACCACTGGCACCAGCTTCCTGTAGGAGCCAACGCAGGACCATGCACGATGCATCTCATCAGACATTGCATCCCATCACGCAGTGCATTCTGTCACACAGTGAGTCCCATCACACACTGCATCTCATCACACCCTGCATCCCATCACACCCTGCATCTCACCACATGCTGCATCCCATCACATGCTGCATCCCATCACACGCTGCATCCCATCACACGCTGCACCCCATCACACGCTGCATCCCATCATACGCTGCACCCCATCACACGCTGCATCCCATCACACGCTGCATCCCATCACACCCTGCATCCCATCACACGCTGCATCCCATCACACCCTGCATCTCATCACACGCTGCATCCCATCACACCCTGCATCCCATCACACACTGCATCCCATCACACGCTGCATCCCATCATACACTGTATCCCTTCACAGTCTACATCCCATCACACCCTGCATCCCACCACACAATGCATCCTATTAAACCGTATATACCATTACATTATGCAGCCCATTACACAGCACATCCCAGCACATGATGCATCCCATCACACACTGTGTCACGTCATGCAATGCATTCCAGCGCACGGTTCATCCCATTGTGCCATACATCAAATGACGTGATACATCCCATCACATGCTGTATTCCATCACACGCTGTGTCCCACTATCACACGGATGGAGCCCAGTCTCATCGCCAAGGCTGGATCCCCAGGCTGGGCACACGGTGCTTTGCCCACATGCAATGCTCCTCAGCTGCCTGCACCCAGCAAGCACTTGCACAGGGATGTCTTTGCCTTGGGGCTGCAGCGGATGCAAAGCATCGAGCTGTTGTTCGGGAATTTTGGCAGGTTCCTGACAGCCCTGGAAGGGGATAACTCAGGCACTGGCACACCACCCCAGCAGGATGCTCATTAAAAGGATTGGGCTCTGTGCTATGTCTCTGTCCAGCCCCAGCACTCGTGTCTTCCTCATCCCATCCCATCCGAGCCCCAGTCCCATCTCCACGGAGTGTGGAAGCATCCTGCATGGGATGGGGGAGATGAGGAATCACATCTGGGTCCCACTCGCCAGGGTGCTGTGGATCCAGCATATACCAGTGTGAGTATGGGGTGCTGGGAGGCGGGGGTCAGGGCATAGCGAGCCCTGAAACACAAGGGCCCAGGCATTAGGAACCAGAAGGTGCTGCAGGGCTAGAGGTGGCCGGCAGAACAGCACAGCCACCTGTGGGGCACAGCACAGCCACCTGTGGGGCTCAGCACTATGTTTTCAGGCTATTCCAGCGTTTTTACAACAGGTTGCCCCCATGGTGATGGGCATTCTCACTTACTCATCCCTCTGCAGTGTAGGAGCTCGGCGTGGATGAGCTCCAGCTCCTAGAAGCAGCTTCTCCCAGCTCCCCAGCAGCAGGGCTTCCTGGCAGCCCTACACAGAGGACAGACTCCTTCCTTCAGGCTCATGAGCAGCAAGGTCTCAGCGCTGGGGACTGAAGGGATCTGACTTCCCAGAGGAGCAGAATCCTGGGAGAGGCCTGGCTGGGGCTGTCCCCGTGTTGCCCTTTCCCCCTGGGGAGGGTTGCATTGCCCAGGCTGCAGGGTGGACAGCGGCCACGTGTGCTGCGTCCCGGCTTTAGGGGTGCTGCTGTCAGTCATGGTCGCCGAGGCTGTTCTGCTACAAACTGGAACACAGCTGCAAGGGGATGAACCTGGCAGGGACCAGCCACCAGGCTCCTGTTTCAGGTGACTCCTCCATGCTCGCATCAGTGACAGTCTGCTGGCCCTGGTACAAGCGCTGTCGCCTGCTTAAAACCCCCTCCTTTCCCTCCTGTGCTTTGTACTCGGATGCAAAGACCAGCTCTGTCTGGAGGCTTTGCAGCAGCAGAGGCAAAACCGAGTTTTGCCACCCCGAGGTTGAAGGCAAAATAGTTTCCTGGGGTGGGATGTCAAATGTGGCATCATCCATGTGTGTCCCCCCCATCCCTCCCACAAAGACATGCTCTCTGCTAAAAGCCAGGCCTGTATTCTCCTGCCAGGACATTTCCTCCCTGCCCCGCTGTAGGACCTTCCCCTTCTCCAGACAATGAAGGGACCGAAGCCAATGGCAGCGGCTGGTGGAGCCAGGGAATGCAAAAGCCCAGTGGAGCCCATCCTGAATGCGCCCCAGCCGGCTGGACAGGAGAGGGATAACACAGCCCAGCACCTGCCCACCTCCCTGCTGGCACCCAGAGCTGGCCCCACAGCACCAGGACTCACCCCGTGAGGCCACAACCCCCCCAGTGCAGGAGAACCCCAAATCTGAGCAGCAAGGAGACATGAGGAGCAGGGCTGCAATGCACCCACAGCAACCCAGGCTCAGCACAGGGCGATCCCACCCAGCCAAGTGCCCCGAGTCCCCCGCCGATGCGGACACAGGGTGAAGCGATGGTGCTCAGCCGGGTGCCAAGGGAAGCAGGGAGCTGCGTGTGCCCACGGGAGTCACTTTTATTAAGGCTTGTTATAAAAATAGATCACGCACCGCCGTGGCACATTTGTCCATGTCTGCCCCGGGGCAGGGGCTCTGGGGGGCTCCAATGGGGAGGGCTCCATCACACGGCTGCAGCCTGGGGAAGCCAGAAACCCTTCCTTGGAGGAAACACGCTCCCTTGGCCCCTAACGGAGCTGCGGTGCTCCTGGCACTGTCTTGGCATGGAGGCGTTTGCTGCCCTGCATCCAAGTCTTCAGAAGGAGAAAGAAAAACTGAAAGCAAGGGGGGGGGGAACAATACAAAGAAGGAAGATTGAGTCTCCTCTGTCACCCCTTTCTGAGGTAAAGTGTCCAGCCAGCGTGAGCAAACATCCCAACCGTGCTTCCCTGCACTGGGAATTGCAGGGGGACGATGGCACCTCTCAGCACACAGGCTACTCCTCATCCCAACAGGCACCTTCTGGGGGGGGTGGCACTTTGGGCACAGTTTGACGGCACTTTGGGCACAGCTCGGTGGCACTCCAGGCTTCCGTTACAGTTTGCATGTGCTTATTCCAAGAGTCACTGTCTCCAGCCTGCTGCTCGGTGGCTCTAGGAAGAGGAGGCTGGGATAGAGAGTCCATGGATGGTGTTTAGAGAGTCTGAAGATTTCCCCACGGGACTGGTAGGTTTTCTGTCCACCACTGCAAGAGAAGGGAAAAAGAATGCAACAGGAAGGCAGCGGATTGATGGACTCCAAGCACATCACTGCAGTCACATCTACACACACATGGGCCTTCCTCCAACAGCCCCCCCAAGAACAATGGGCTCCCCAACCCTTCTCCCCAGGCAAGGCACCCCATATTGGAACTCTATGGGAACTGGAGAGGAAAGGGGTGGATGTAGATGCCAAATAATGGTGGTAAGGACAGGCACTCTCGCCATTGCCGTGGGGCCAGCTCTGCCTGGGGGGGTGACCCAGGCCCACCCCAGCCACACACAGAACACATCCCATGGACTCCCTTAAAGCCTGGGGCTGCAGTGGCCTGGGAGGGACTGTGTCACCAGCACCAGGAAGGAGAATGGATCTGGACGCTGTGCCAGCTGTGGTCAGCCTCCTGCTGAGCTCCTCCCCATCCCTGGCTCATCCCAGGCACAACCTGGCCACAGAAAGCATCATGGTGCAGGGTCAGAGGCTGGCCCAGGCCCAGAGGATCCCCACACACAGGCTTTGGAAGATGGGACACGGAAGGTCCTGGGGCTGCTGCAGGCATCGGGATGAGCAGGAAGGGTTTTCTGAGGAAATAAGGGCTGTGAAGTCAGAAAAGTTCTGAATTGCAGAGTGAAACTGCTGAGTTTGTCTTTATTTTCACTTTCTTTCTTTCCTTCCTTCTCTCCTTTTTTCCCTTCTCTCCTTTTTTTCCCTTCCCTCCTTTCCTTTCTTCCCTTCTCTCTGTCCTTCCCTTCCCTCCTCCTTGCCTTCTTTTCCTTCTCCTCTCTTTTTCCTTCCCCTCTCTTCCTTTTCCTTATCTCCCTTTTTCCCCCTCTCTCCTTCCTGCCTTCCCTCCTCCTTTCCTTCTTTTCCCTTCCCTCCTTTTGTTCCCCCTTTCCCTCTCTTCCCCTCTCTCTGTCCCTTCCCCTCCCTCTCCCCGCAAGATGCCGACGCGGGGCAGCACCGAGCCGGAGCCCGGCGGCTCCTCGGGAGCGGAGCGGAGCATGGCCCCGGGGCTGCTCCGTTCTTCCTCCAGCCCTCCTCGGGCCCGGGGGGAACGGTTCTTCCCATAGTCCCGTATTTGGGTTGTGGCAGGTAAGGAGCGGAACCAGAAAAGCGATTCGAACGGAACTGAAAAGAAAATCAGCTTTTAAAGGGGAAAAAAAAAAAAAAAAAGGCACAAAATTAAAAAAAAAAAAAACTAAAAAATTAAGACAATTTTCTTTTTTTTAATATTTTTTTTAAAAAAAAGCCCAAAACGCAAAACCAAGAAAACCACAAAGGTTTGAAGGAAGTCCATGGGCCTTTCGGCAAAGACAGCTTGAAGTCAGAAAACTAGCTCCAAGTCACTTAAAATACCTCGAAAATCACATTAAATCCCCGCAGTCATCTCTCCTCCGTTTTCTTCCTCCTTTCCTTCCTTACTCCTTTCTTTTCCCTTTCCTTTCTCACACTCTGTTCCCCTTTTGTATTTTCTTTCCCAAATAATTGGTTTACAATTATCCGTTTTCACCCATTGGCACTCGCAATAGCTCAGCCCCAGCACAGCTGATGCTCTAACCCGCAGCAGGTTGCCTGCTTTAGAAAAGGCAAAGGGCGTGTGTGTATATATATAAATACATATATACACATATACATGCATATAAAATAAAGCCATAAAATAATATCAAATAAACAAAAATGTAAAACCCCAGAAAGCCAACAATAAAGAAATGAACTAATGAGCGGGAAATTAATCGCAAATGTGGACGAGAATAGCGAATCTAATACCGCGCAAGAGGAGAAGGACATCGCCGAGGGGTTTATACCCACAACAGCTGAGATGGGAGCTTTAAATCGAAAGCGCCTATCAAGGAAACGAACCTCGCTCCCATAAATGAGACGAAACAATTAAGGGGAGGTAAAAGGAACGCCCCAATTAATGCCTCGGGTATACGAACGCTCGATTCAACTTCAACCCCCTCCCTGTGCCTGGCATAGGGAGTTTAAATACTCCCCAAAGCGGAGGATCTATAACATTAAGAGCGTCCAGCCCGGGTCGGACTGGGGGAAAGGGCCCCGATGTGAGGGGAGGGGGACACAAATTCCGCCGAGAAGGCTATCCCTGCCCGGGATGGAGGGGATAATGGAAAGCGGAGGATTGGCCTCAAATCCTCTCGCTTCTCTATACAGGCGCAAATAACGAGGGAAAACGGGGTTCCAGGTTGCGAGCCAGACGGGAACCACCGTCGGGGGTACTGGCAGCTCACGGCTCTCAGGGGAAGCCGGGGGCACCGGGTTTGCCCGCGGCCGCCAGCCTATCTGAGCACCCCGATAACACCGGGGAGTGGGGGGCAATATCACCGGTACCGGAAATATCCAGCGGGATAACCCTCTCCTGGGGACCCGCTCACCCCCTTCCTCCGTTTCTGCCCCTCTTGCTGAGGCCCCGGGGAGCCCGCACCCCCCGGTGCGTGTCCCCCGTCTCACCTTCCCTCCCGGGCTGCTTGAACGCCATCGCCGCGGCCAGGTCGCCGCCGTGGGTCGCCACGCCGGGGCCGTGGTGGGCCAAGGGGCTGCCCTGCGGCTGCCAGGGGTGCCCCGGGGGGATGTAGCCGCCGGGTGGGCCGCCGTAGACGCCGTGTTGGTTGGACGGGGGGTAGGCGCAGGCTGGGAGGAAGCTGCCCACCGACGACAGCCCCGGGGCCGGCTGCGGACAGGCAGAGAAACGCGTCGGGGACGGAGCACGAAACGGGCGCTGTCGGGGTTACCCCCACGGGGAGGTGGAGGGCGGAGGAGGAAAGGGAGCAACGGGAAATGCCCGTGCCCGTCCGCCCTGTGTGTGTCCAGCAGTTACCTGCGGGTATTTGATATCTCCCTCCATGGCAGCCTTGTCGATGCCGTTGACTGCCTGGCCCGGGGGAAACGCCGTCCTGTTCACGCTGGGCCAGTCTTCCATTTTGGGGGGGTAGGCAGACCCCTCTGTGCCAGCCAGAGCCCCTGCGAAGGAGAGCACGGACACCCCGTCAGCGTTACACCCCACTTCGGCCCCGGAGCAGGGATTTGGGGTGAAACATGGGGAAACAACGGTTTGCAAGTGCCCGTTCATGTAAACCCGATGAGGAGAGAGGGCGCAGATCCACCTCGCCTCCCAGTCCCTGCCGGCACCCTAGGGATACAGCCCGCTCCCCGCTAGAAGGCCCGGGAAAGGCTGGGATTCGGTGATTTAGATGCACCCTGTTTGGGGGAACTTGATGTGTTGTATTCCCCCCCAAAAAAAAACACGGTCTCTCTGCTCACCCCCCGGTCGCTTCCACGTTCCCTATAATTTAGGAGGCCCAATTTCTCTTCTGACGAAGGAGATTTATAAAAGTGACATTGGAATTTTAAAGATAAATGATTATGCACGGAGGGAAACGCATGCGGTTGATTTACCCGGGCTTTTGGAAGGATAAAAGGACCCGCATTTCTCCCTCTCCCATCCTCCACGTCCCGTCCCGTCTGTCACCCTCGGAGCCGGCTGGGCAGGCGGGCCGAGGCTCGGGCCACGGGGATGGGAGCTGAAGGGGCGCCGGGCCTTCTCCCGGTTTGGTTTTCAGGAAAACCAGAGCGAACTCTCGGGGGAGATCCCGGGGAACACAGCGCCCGTTCTCCGAGAGTCTCGCCGCCTTCTTCCCCCCTCCTCTTTTTCCTCTCCCGGGTTGGTTTTCTCCCCCCTTTTTACCCCCCTTCCATGTTTTATTTTCCCCTTCGCAAAGGGAAATTCAGGCTCCGAATTTGCGGTCGGCAATCTATCATCCCTGAGAAAATATTTTCCACATTTTTCATAAAAAGTTCAAGATGTCTGAGCCTCGCCGCATCTCCCCCATCCTCCCCTTTCTCTTTCCCTCCCCTCCCGCCCCGTCCTTCCCGAGCGGGATGCTCCCAGCCAAAGAATCAAAAATAGAATTAAAGCAAATAAAGCCGGGGGGTGCTGGGGGGTGATGCTCGATACCCACCCGTCTGCTCCACGAAGGTGCGGATGCCCAGGATGTTGGTGACGGAGTGCGCCGAGGGCCAGGAGCGGGGCAGCCCGACGTGGGGAGCGCCGGGGTGAGCCCCCACCTTGGCTGCGGTCGAGGCCATGGGGCCGGGGTATGGGTACTGGTAGATGGGGCTGTAAGGCAGGGCGGGCTGGGGGGGCGGCTGTTTGCTACCCTCGAAGGGGCCGGGCTGCGAGAGGCTGCCGATTTTGTTGCGCAGGATCCTGCTGATGGAGCTGACCGAGGGCACGTTGTACTTGTCGCAGACGCCGTCCGCCAGCAGCCGGTCGCGGATCTCCCAGGCGAAGATGCCGGGGTCGCCTTGCTTGTAGTCACGGATGTGCTTGACCACGGCCGGGGTGGTGACCCGCGGTTTGCTGCCGCCGATGGCCCCGGGCAGGATGGAGCCCGTCTCGTTGTAGCGGGCCAGGATCTTGCTGACGCAGCCGTGCGAGACGCGGAGCTGGCGGCTGATGTCGCAGGGCCGGATGCCGAGCTGCGCCAGCTCCACGATCCGCAGCCGCACCGCGTTCGGCAGCGGCCGCCCGTTGACGAAGACACCTCCCAGCTGGTTCACCTCCCCGTAGGTGTGCTCTGCACGGGCCGGACGCCGCGTTACCGACCACCGAGACACCGAGCAACGCGATACCGACCGGCGGCCCGCGAGGAGCAGGAGGCGGCGGGGACGAGAGGGGATGGGGACGGGGACACTGCGCCAGTCGCGGCCCGCCCCGCAGGTCTAGGAAAGGAAAAGAGGGGCAAAGGGGAAGGGAAAAAGGGGAGAAGGAGAAAGGAAAGGAAAAGGAAAAGAAAAAGGAATTAAAAAAAGGAAAAAGGGAAGGAAAAAGAAGAGGGGAAAAGAGAGAAAAAGAAAAAGGAGAAAGAAGAGGGAAAACGGAAAAGAAACTTGAAAATAAAATTGAAATAAAAATTGAAAAAATGGAAACGAATTAAAAATAACAAGAGAGAAAGGGAGAAAGAAAAAGAAAAAGAAACACAAGCAGGAAGAAAGGAAAGGAGAAATGAACGGGGGGGGGAGAGAAATAAAGACAGGAAAACGAAGGACAACAAAAAAGAAATAAAAGAGGGTGAGCAGAAAGAAAATAGGTGAAAAAGAAGTGGAGAGGGGGGAGAATAAGAAAAGACGGGGAAAAAAAGAAAGAACAGATTAAAAAAGGAGGAATAAAAAGAGATTAAAAATGGAGGAAAAGAGACAGAAAAAAGGATGGCGAAAGAAAAGAAAAAAAGAGGGGAAAAGACAGGAAAAAGAGAACTTAAAAAGGCAGCGGTGGAAAGGCCGGAAAAAAAAAAAAAAAAAAAGGAGAAACAACGAGAACTGGAGAAAGAACCGAAAGAAAAGAGCGGAGCGAAAGCGGAGGAAGGGAGCGCGGAGGAAAGGGGAGCCGAGCTCCCTCCCAGCCGGGCACGTCGTGCCGGACCCCCGCCCGCCGCCACGACGGCCCGGAGCGCCGCGCCGAAACCGGGGTCCCGTCCGTGCCCCGGCAGCCACGGGGCCCCGGGGGCTCCCCTCACCCCCCAAACCCCGCCGCGGAGCCCGAACCGGAGCCCTCCCCTCTCCCGCCCGCCTTACCCATCGCCCGGCGCCGGGGCAGCGCCGCTCCGCCCGGGGAGGGGGCACCGCCTGCCCGCCGCGCCGCAGCCCCAGCCCCGGCCCCGGCATAGACGGGCCCCCGGAGCGGCGGAGCGCGGCCCGGCTGGGCTGGGCGGGCGGCGGGGGTGTCCTGGCGGCTCCGGGCCGGTTTCCCCCGCCGCTACTTGGGATCAATTTGACGTGGGGAACACGTCAATCCCGGCCGTCACGGCCGCGGGACGCCCATTGGCTCCCGCGCCGCCCCTAAATGGCCGCTGCCGCCGCTCCCCAGCGCTAAGGGGGGGAACGGGACGGGTTGGGACGGGAGGGGCCGGCACCCTCCGCCCCCCCTCCCCCCCCATGCCCCTCTCCAAGCCCGCTTTAGGGCTGCGGGGAGGCAGAGAGGGGTCGATACCCCCCCCCCCCCCAGTTTGAGCCACACAGTCCGTCCGTCCGTCCCCCCCCCGCCGTCCTTCCCACGGGGGACGGGCACCTGCCCCTCCTCCAGCCCCGACGGCCGGGACCTGCGGGCACGGACATCGCCAGGGTCCGGAGAGGATGGTCAGAGGTTGGGGGTGTTCCTGGGGGGAGCTGCCGGTGCGGGGTCCGGGCATCTCCTCCCCCCGGCTCCCCCCGCAGAGCCGCTGCATCGAAATCCGCCTGTTTCTTACCCGAGTAAGAATGCAGCCGAGTAAAACGGGGATGGGAGCGTGTCTGGCGTGGGAAGGGGGGGGGTCTGTAGATTCCCTCTACAAGAAAGGTCGATGAGAAGGAAGATCGTGAGCGTTTCCCTCAAACGACTGAAAGGTTGGGGGGAGAGAGAGGAAAACCGCCTCGCAGCCAGCCTCGGGCATTGCGTTTGCAGCCGCATCGAAAGCCGGCTCCTCCGGGGGTTTGAATTGAGGGTATGGGGGGAGCTGGGGGCAGCGGCTCCGGACAGCCCCGCTCTCACAGCCCCCCTCCCGCCCCGGACTGCGGCCGCCCCGTCGGCAGCGCGGACAGCGGCGGGCAGGAAGCAAACGGCGTTTCCTGCCAGGGGCACAGCATCGGTGCGGGGACAGGCACGGGGAGAACCCCACGCGGTGCCCACCCGGCTGCCCCTTCCCTTTACCCCCCTATTCCCCAGCCGTGAGGTTAAACCCGTGTGCGCCCGCCGAAGGGTGCGTTGGAAACCGGTGGTCGGGGAAAGAGAACGAATCGATTAAAAAGCTGCTGAGAAGCGCAAAGGGACGAGTGACCCCGGTGTGCATCCTCACTCACCGCACCATCAGGCTACAGCCTCCGGGGAGTGCCGTGGCCATGAGTTTGCCGTTCTCAGCTCCGGCGGAGCAGGCAGGAGCTGCTGCCGGCAGCCGTGGGACGGAGGAAATCGAAAGGCGGCCGAGGAAACCCGCTGCCTTTCTCCCTGCCCTGGATTTTGGGGGGCAGGCGGGGGTCTCTTCCCACCGTCGGAAGAGCCTTTACCCCGGGGGCCGTGTCCAGCCCGCAGCCCGGCTGTCCCGCCGCAGCGCGCCCGGGGCCGGAGAGGGCTGCTCCTAGCCGGGGGTCGGAAGAGGCCTGCCGGGCTCGGCTCCTGAACACCCCCCGAGTCCCTCAGGGCCGCTTCTCCCTTGGAGGAGCCCCGGCGCTGCAGCATCCCCGGGCAGCCCGACGGCGCGGCGGGACCGGGGGTCGCGGTGCCTGCTCCGGAGCCCCGGCCCGGGCTCTCCCGAGCCCACCCGCCCCTCCTCGGCCGAGCCAACCTTTGTCTCCCTCTGTTGGGAAGCGCGGAGAAACCCGCGGGCCGGATCCGCGGTGAGGGGCGGAGGGCAGGAGCCGTGGGCCCCGGGAGCACCGCGCCCCACTGCACCCCTCCGGGGCTTTCCCCGGGCCTCGGCTCCTGTCCGGAAGGGACAAGGGTTTGGCACCGTTAGAGGGGACGGGAGACGCGTCCGCGGGGCTGCCGAGTATCGGTGCGATAGCCCGACCCGTCCCGGGCGGGTGTGAGGGAAAATAGCGGGGAAGGGAGAAAAGAGAAATGGAGAAGAAAACGAAGAGGGAAAAGGGGTACAAAATGAATCAGAAGGGAAAGCCTAATAAAAAGAAAACGAAAACAGAAAAGAAGAAAGAGGAGAAGGAAAATAGGAACAAAAAGAAAACCGAGAAGGGAAAGAAGGAGAAAAATAGAAGCGAAGAGTTATGAGAAGAAGGAATATAAAGAAAAAGAAAGGTAAAATTAGAAAGAAAAAATAAAGGAGGAGGGAAAGGAAAAAAAGAAAAGAGAAAAGAAAAAGAAAGAAGAGAAAAAAAGAAAAGAAAGAAGAGGGAAAGGAGAAAAAATAAAAAGAGGAAAATAATAAATTAAATAAAAACCAAAAACTAAAAAATTAAACTCGATATAAGAACAAACGAAATAAAAAAGAAAAAGAAAAAAATAAAAACGAAAAAAGAGAAAGATAAAAAGAAAAATGAAAAATTTTAAAGGTGAAAAAAGAAAATAAAAGGGAAAATGAAAAGGGAAGTAGGTAAAAGGAAGGAAAGAAAAAGGAAAAGAGGAAAAGCCGGGGGGCTCCGGGAGGCCGGGGGCAGCGGGGCCGGCGCAGGGTCGGGGTTCTCCTCTCCTCGGGGAAACGCTCTGGAAGGGAAAGGAGAGGAGCTCAGGGCCGGAGGGAAGCCCCGGTCCCTGTCCCGTTCCTTGTCCCTATCTCCCTCTCGGGGCCGGGGCCGGGGCCGGGGCCAGGGCCAGGGCCAGGCTGCTCGGGGCCGGCAGACCCGGGTGCACTCCATAGCTCCTCACCGGCGCTTCCCGCTGGGCTCAGAACCGGACAAAACCCTTCCCCATCAGCACCCTTTTCCCCTCGCCACTGCTGTGCCAGCAGCTCAGAAACCTCTCAGTTTAACCCCACTTGCGAAAGCTGCTGGGCATCGGTGCCCGTGTCCCCGCCGAGCCTCCCAAGGCGCTGGGCTCCGTGCGGGAGATGCTCGGCTCCGCAGCGAGATCTCTGCTGGATAAGGTCGGTACCAGCAGCGAAGCAGGTACCCCCGAAAGCCTTTTAAACAGAAACACCAGGATTATTGCCCCGCTGCAGGAGCTGGGAACCGGTACCGTTAAAGGTGGGGGCTCCCGTGTGTGCCCCGTTGTTTGTTCTATATTCATTAAGGAATCAGAGCCTCTGCGGCTCTTGGAGGGGATATTTAGTTTATGGAGCTCATTTTCTGCCACAGTCCATCAATCAAAACAGGAAAATCCCGTCACAGCGGGTTCAAAACAGGCTCCCATTCCCCAAAACGAAGCACAACGCTTCTCTCTCGCAAAAAGAAGCCGGGTGCGAGTGCGTTTTGTGTCGCAGGATTACTCCTGACAGTCTCCTTCCCCGAGCCTTTTGACACTGGTTTAATACAGAGCTGAACAGTCCCGCTGCCGCGAAAGAAACTGCTTCAGTTTGCTGGAGAGCAGGCGTTGAGGGCTCGGAGGAGAAAAATCATCCTTCAAAGCTCTGTGTGCTGTCTGAGCCACTTTGTGTAAGCATCTATTTCGGTTTGGTAAAGGCCACAGGTTGGGTAATTAACAATAACTCGGTTTCATTTGTCAAAAGCGATTTAGGTCTATAAAATATACCCCTCTGCAAGCCAGAAAGCTCCATAACTCCTCGTGGAGAGAGAAAAAAAGGCAAAAATCCTGGAGTTTTAAGCTTGGGGTTTTTTTTTTCCTAAAGGTTACATTTTTCATCACAGATTCTGAATGGGAAAAAGATATCCTGGATCCTTAATACGCTCTAATTCTTGTGTAAAACGTGGCTGATGTGAGGACAACAGATTATTTGTAATTATTGCCATTGCTTAAATAAGCAGCAGTGGATACAAACTACTTTTCTTTTTACACACATCATCCTGATTTTCTTCTCCCTTTCTGCCTGCAAAGCATCTCGGACCGCTTGTGAGTTACTGCGTGTGGATTTGAAACCTCTTTGCACGCCCTGAGAAGCAATGCAGGCAGTGGGAGAGCTTTTTAGCTACAGTCTGGATCCTTCCATCTGCCACCAGCTGTGGAGGTGCAGTCACCACCTTGCCTCACTAGTACTGAAGCAGTAAGAACACAAAGCAGTATGAGAGGAGCATTGAAGGAGTCCCAACGCTAACGGCACGCAGAGGTCTCGCTGCAGGGGAGCCTGTTGGGAGAAGCCGGCAGCGGGACGGGACTGCCTGCTCTGGCTGTGCCTCAAAGGAAGGGGTGAAGCCAAGCCTCTGCCTTGCAAAGGCTCAGTCCTGCTCCAAGACATCTGCCAGGCGTATGGAGACAGCTGGCTCGCAGGAATGGCTTCATGGAACGCTGGGATCAGCGCTGAGATTCAGTTCAGATGGATGGGGATGGTCTATCCCCGCTCCTCACTGCAGCAGTGGGCGTCCCTGGGGATAGGAGCCTTGACTTTGACCACTCGGAATGCTCACCCAGCACAGCGCTGAGAACAGACAGTCCTTGTGGCACTGCTGGGAGCTGTAGGTGCTGTGAGAAACAACGAGCACTCACATAAGGTCCTTGTCTCCTGCCTGCCCCAAGCCCTCAGGACTCAGCAACAGCCTCTCCATTTGCTATGGTGAATATTTCATTGGTCCTACAGTGAAAGAGAAACAGAAAAACCCCTTCCAAATATTTTCCTATAGATTAAGGTCCTGCTTAACGCTAAGCCCATATGGAAGCCTTTGCCTGAGCGTAAATCTTTGCAAGATCAGCCTATTAGCTCGTGCCCAACTTTGCAAACAAGCACCGCACGTGCTCGCAGACAGAAGGGATGAAGGGCTGCTCAACCTAGTCCTTTGTTTTCTTACTGGAATGGTTTTCTCATGACCATAATGAAGTGGGGAGGCCGCACGCTTGGCAAGGGAAAGGGATGTTAAGTTGTGCTGGTGGAAAAACACATCGCGTAGGCTGAAACAGCACCGGGTCGTCTTGTTGCATTTGGCACCGCGCGCACAGAGCGGCTGCACGCTGGATGGTGCGCACGTGGCCTCAGGAGAGAACAGGGAATCTCCTCCTTGTGGAAAATATTTGGGATGAGGTTTGGGTATCTTTACTCACGCTTAATTCCAATGGGCTTTATGGCATGGATCCGTCTGGCGCATCACCCCCAGGCTCTCGGAGGAGGTTCTCCATCGGTTTGGAGCTGGATCCGCTCATCCGTAAGGAGTCCTGGGAAAGGAATATGGGGAGAGAAAGGAAGGGATGAACGTCAGGGTGACCAAAGCCAATGGTTCGGAATTA